GTGCATGTGCAGCTTTGTTCACCTCTCATTTTACAATAACTTGATTTCTAGTTGTCCAGAGGGAGGGACACAGAGAATTACAAGTGTAACTTTGCTCTTTAAGTTCTAGCTAGAGCACTACCCTGTTTCATGCATAAACTAGAAAGTAGCATCTATCTGTTGTCCTTGCACAGGAACCATAGGAACTCTCTCCTGTTTTTATGAAAATTCAAAAAGCAGAGTTCAGGTGTGTTTTATAAGTAATCACAAAAATAATTCAAGCACTACATTTATTAAGTGTTGTTAATATTCAAACTTTATTCATATAAAGTTTTAGACTATTAAGAAATTCAGACTATAAAAATCACAACTATATAAAAAGCAGAGTAATAAAAGACTGCATTCCTTGACAGCTGTTAACAGGTCAGTTACCACACTGAAAACGACATATAAAAAATCTTGTAAGTAATCAGATTTTTTTGTTAAACATGTCCTGAATTAAGGAAGACAATGAAAAGAGGAAATGAAGTGACATTGTCTTTTTACCATTAATCAGGAACAGATTTCTGCTTGCCATCTCAGCAGAAGAGCCATCCCCACTGATGCATTATTTCATCAACTAGTGGTCTCCTCCTGAAGAGGAGGGCAAGTAACTCTTCTTAATGATTGTCAGTACAAAAGAACAAATCAAAGCTAACCTACAGGGTACATCTGATCTGTTGTACATGGAGCTCTCGCAGAAACCACGGGCATTAATATTCTGCTTTGAATGGGTAGTCCTTGTGATTGACAGCCCTAAGAAGAAGAAAAATCATTGGCTTATTTAAGTATCGTATAAAGTATTTTCAACAGTATTTCCCTAGCACAGTCTCCCTCCCCTGCTGCCAACATACTCAACTTTTGCTGCTGAGAGCAGTCATTAATTTGCACGCGCAGGCTTGTGAACAAGTACATGCAACACCAAGATACAGTCTCGCTAAAGGGACTACCCTGAATGAATTCTCCATCCTGATGTCAGCGTAAGATACGTCTCATTACCTGAGGTCTAGGGTTTAAGAAAAAAGCTCTTCCTAGTTTTAGTGATATCTGTTTTCAAGATGTAAAAAAACCCAGATCTCTGGCACACTAGTGAATATGAGAATAGGGAACGTACGGGAGCACTGGAACCGCCCTCCAGTTTCTGTTGAAGCTAAGGATGACATCCATCTCCTTTTTAGACAGTTCAAAGTCAAACACCTAGGGGAGAAAAAAAACAAACAAAAAAACCCCACAACCCTTTTCACTTAAGTTTATAAGTAGTTATATACTAAGCACGCTTCAGGTATTTATGACTTGAGGCAGGAACATCCTGCACCAGAGTAAGTATATTTACGAAACTCTCTTATTTCTCGGCCAAATAGGAATTTATTCTTGAAGTAATTAAAATAGTTGTTTGTTCTTTGAGGTGAGTTCTAAGCAATGTCTAGTAGTTCTGTGTGGCTGACTGCAAACACCCCTGCAGATTGAGTTGCAACGCAGAGACAATTTCGGTGCTTCCCACAGATTACTCGGTGTGTCCCTGGAACTAGCGGTAAATGTTTCTGCTACAACAGACAAGCTACTGGGTACCAACCACAAATCAATTATCTCACAACAAATCAGTTATCTAAGAATTCTCACTGGTCGTTAATAGGAAAAACGAGTCCAAAATGTAGCAGCATGAACTAAAGGTAATACAGAGATACCATCTAAAAAGGCTGAGCCTTTAAGCAAACATGCAGCTGACTCTCCCTCCTGAGAGAAACCACAGCCTCAAAATGAGCTATTAACTTTTTAGTGGGTCTGGTGTTCTCTAACCTCATTTGAGTGTGTAATGTGACGGCTGAAGCAGCTGAGGCTCAGGGATGCAGCACTGTTTAGAATTTGTTTGCTCCTTTGCAGCCTGAAGGGGGGCTCACTAAGCATCTCCCAGAGGGCGATCCCCAAACTGGGATTCGCTTCCAGTGCTGCCACGCTCGGGCCACCTTGGTGTAAGTCATTTCTCTCCTGGCTGTAACAAAACCTGTTTCCCCACAAGGAGCGCAGCTGGTTATGCAGCGCTGAATACATGTTGTTACGACTCTGTGCACCCCTTCCGATGCCTCTTTAGGTGTCACGTGGAAACACCGAAAAGCTGTGGGTGCCCAGCTTGTATACAGAGGTAGCAGCAATCCCAATGGAAACTTTACCTTCATGTTTTCCTCAACACGCTGTGGTTTGTCAGACTTGGGAATGACAATCACGTTCCTTTGGATAAGAAACCGGATCAGAACCTACAAAAGCACAAGGAAGCTTATGGACATGGGTAGCGAGACATCTGTTCAGATGCACTTTCTCCTTCTCTTTTCTCTGTTTCATCTTCCCACATCCATGTTCACTCTTCAGTAGGTTTTACCAGATTGCTCCCAGGAGTTTGATGTGATAGCACAGGCTTGCAGTCTGCTTACAAACTACTATTTGTTTCTGGCCTATGTTGTTTCTATATCCTGGCTTCTCGTGGATTTGTTTTGGTTTCACCTGGTGTAGGAGGGGGAGAAAAATAATGATGCTTCAGGCTCATGTTAGATGGGTGCTCAGACCAGATGAGCATAGCAATACTGTGCACTACTTGGGGCTCAGAAGTAAGTACCCCACCAGGCTAATATTTTTTGAAGTCTTTAAAAAGAAACAAAAAGATAAGATTTCTCAAGTTTTTCCCCTCAAAAGAGGACTGTTGCATACAGTTTTTTTGTCCTGCCCTGCCTGTCTGAAAGTATGACTATTGCTGGTTGCCTGCAAACGTGTGGATTTGTTTGAAGTGCTTTCCTGTGTTTTCCTGTGAAGTGTGAATTCTTGCACACCCTGGACAAGATCTCATTTGTGTGAATAGCAGCTAACAGAGAAATGTTTTCAACTTGAATAATCAAGCAATTTTCAATAATTCTTTGTGAACAGTAGCAAACAACAATCAAGTACGTTTGCAGAGGACAGGGCTTCTCTGAAGAATAACTGAGCTGGGGAAAGGAATAACAGGTAGGCTGCATGATTTTTAAGTCAATCTCAAAGGAAAGGGTTTCTCTGGGAGCAAGCACTTCTCTCTGGGAGCAGAAAAAAATCTCCCTCGGAAGGGGATCCCCAGCATAAGCACCTAGCACTGCTGATCAGTCCCCAAAAGCTCAGCATTCAAGAGCTTCAGAAAATATTTCAGAATTCATAGGAATGCTGGAAGAATAGGGGTAGTATGAAAAGTCAAATGCAGTTCAGCCACTGTAGATTCTACCTTTAGAGAAGGTGATGCCTGCTGCAGACTGGCCATCAACTTGTAACATTTGAGGAGGAGGAAGAGTTTGTCCTGGCTTACCTGGGCAGGAGTTTTATTATGTCTAACTGCAATCTCTTTAATCTTAGGATCCTCCAGCAGCATAGGTTCCCCTGGCTTGGCCCTATTAAAACAAAAGCCAGGTTAATAATGGTAGAAAAGGTCTTAGCATCCCTGCAGGAAGCATTTCAAACATTTTGCCTGAACTGATCTGCAATCAGCAGCAGCAGCAGCAGCTTACTCATTGTACCTGTGTTATTTACATAATTCGCCTCAACGACTCAAGCTGCACATGCATGTTTTTGTGGAGAGAAAGGCTGCAGTGCTTCCTTACCATGGACGGTTAGGAGAGCCAAGGGGACTGTACGCAGTCACAGCAATCCCTTTGGATTGGCAATACTTGATCAACTTTTCCTGGGTAAGGTACGGATGGCATTCGATCTGCGAGCACAGAAACACAGTGGTTGGCACAGAGGCAGGCTGCCCTGGGCTCCACGGCACAGCGTTCTAATTCCTCTTGGGTCACAGGCAACATGAAGATGACTCCCAGTATCATGATTAAAAATCTATCATTTAAAAAAGTTATTTAGGTTACAACAATATTTAGCACCCTAGAACATAGAATAGGGCTCCCTTGTGCCATGCATTATGCAAAGTGAGAAACAGATGGGAAGAGTCAGCCAAGTGCTGCCAAGTGCTAACTTTGGGAGGAATCGGGGAAGTTAATCTTCTTAGACTACAGGCAAGAGATCGGGATAGCTTCTTCAGAGGGGCAGTTCAGGACACTTAAAAGTTTAGTTCCTGCTCTGAGTCAACCAGCCTCTCCCCTCCATCCAGGACTCTCCCTGATTCCTGGATGTGCCTGGGGGAGAAGAGCTTCCTAGATCAGCCTTGGTGAATATTCTCCCCACCTCTTCCCTGCAGAGATGATATACTGAAAAGACAAAGTTCATCTACAGCTATGAAGCCCAGGTTTTGCTCACTGCTCTGCAGCAGACTCTGTTTAACCTTAGGAAAGTTGCTTCATTCTGTGCTTTGGCTGCTGAAGTTCCTACTCTAAATACATAGCTAGGTTGTTCTTCCTTCTACCAGGTATGATATAAAGTTTAGCCATGTTTCATATGTGCATATATAACATTTCTATTTCCCTGGGTTTGAAGCGAATGGTTTTGAAATAATGTATTTGTACAGCGCTGTGGTCTAACTTCTTTTTGTAGAAGAAAGAAAGACCTTTAAATTTCATGAACCTGTAGGCCTGACTTTTTATAGAGTTATTTAACGCAGCAGGAAGACATTCAAATGAATGCAGTATACAAAGGAGCATGCCCGTCTTTCAAAAGCATCACATTTGTTGTGGACTTGGGACTTACAGACAACTGATGAAGGGTTAGTGACACTAAGAATTGGATTGTAAAAGCAACATGGTAGTGACCTTGTTTAAGGTCTTGTCCTTGGACCTTGTTTAAAGGTGGCTACCAGATCTGGAATATAAAAGTTCCCAAACCTTGATGGTGTGTTACAGCTACATAGTAGTTAATTTGTAAAAGCCATTTCTATTATATAAATGTTTCAGGCAAAAGGGCTGTGGAAAATGAAAACAGTTATGTTGGCAAATGAAGGCTCAAAAGAAAGAGTCAGTCTGTTTTCCAAAATGACCTGAGCGAGGCTGAACAAGACTTTTACATACAGACAAACACACACACACACACAAACAGAAGAAAGATGCTGATAGTTATGACACTGCCTTAGTTACAACACAGTTACAACACTGTCCTAAGATGGTATCACACAACCAAGTTTCAGCCCGCGTTGCACACCACAGCTGAGAGCGCGCTGCAGCCAGGCACTCAGCGAGGTGTCCCTTGGCAAGGCAGTGATCACAGGACACCAGCAGCCTGCAAGGGGATGCCACTCAGTTACCGTCGTGTGGCTGCGGCATGACCACCGCACTGTGTCTGCACTGTGTAAGGTGGCACAAACCACATACACAGCTGTCTCTAAATACTACAGCTTTGCTACCGGACATAGTTACAAGAAATCCATGTAGTGTGAGCTAGATTTGGTAACTACTGTAACGGCAGCGTGCAGTGTATGCACACCCATGGAGCAGCAAACTTGGAGCGAAGCCTGAAGGTCCTTGAAGTGTTGAACCTAGTGCAGCTTTTAACTTGGGGAGTTGGGGCCATCTCAATAAAATCTCAAGAGTCCTATTGTCCCCTTGTGCTAAGCATGAGTAGAGCATGCATTAGCCCCAAGCCCCGCACTGCAGCACAGGACCACTATGTCTGCACTGAATCTGCCACGGGGATTTCCCCAAGTTGGCTGAGAGAGGCATGCGGCAACTCCAGCCGGGTCCAAAAAAGAACAATGCATGAGGAAGAAAGTCAGAAGGTCCCAATGCCCCAGCTGTCTTGTTATGTTGTTCTTGAGGTGACTGGTGACTGGTGACAGTTTGCTTTCTAATTGTGTGTTTCACCCCTCCTTTCTATGATCAAGTTGAGTGAAATGGCTTCTTTTGTGTTGGGGGGAAAAAAAAAACACAGTGAATGCCTTAGCACATTGCCATGCACTCCCATGCTTGGAGCACGAGCTCTTGGTGTGGATTTTGCTGATTATCCCAGAGCTGGCAAAAACGGGCATGTGGCAACCTGGGTTGTGAAGTCCAAGTCCCCGTGGCATGTGGGAATGTGAAACGGAGTGTGTAGAGAAAGTTGCAAAGACCTATACAAGGTAATGGCTATTTTTTCTGTTTTCTACTTGTAACAATAAAATATTCTTATCTGGTTATTATTATCATGATATAAATAATTCATAGTGTTCATGTTTTGTATCCTATTGCTCTGTTAGATCACCACTGTATTATACACACACACACACACACACACACACACACATCTACAACAAAATTTTCTGTTGCGATCCTCACTAGCTAAAAAGCCTTAATGCTGACACTATATTGAAGCCTACCTAGTATACTGCAGAGAGCACAGACTTGGAGGGGCTTTCAGACAGCCTGAGATATCTGGTGCTGTGTGAGATCTTTCCATGGTACCCTAAATATTTAAAGGTTAGGGCAGAAGTAGGTTTTAAGAGCTGAAGTGTAGATCAAGTAGCTTTAGGACTATTCCAGAGTTAGCTGACACCAAGGGAAATAAAGATCTTACCTGGTTATTTACAGGCTTGTATTTCAGTCCTGGCTTGTTCAAGATTCTTTCAGTCTGCAGATGGTTAAAGTTGGAGATACCAATGGCTTTTACCAGACCAGCATCCACCAGCTCTTCCATGGCCTAATGGGTCAGGACAACCAGCAGGTATTTATGAGGTGGTATTACCGCCAACTACACTATCTTCTCTCACTAAAGAAAGTGACAAACCAGTAAATAACCCAAACTAGATTAAATAATGGTCTCTCCAATAAGAAAATAATAAGTCTTTGCACCTTTTATTATCTGTACACTTGAATGATATCCCAGTGCAAGTAGGCAAACAATAGAGGAAGAAGGGCTTGGCCAATTCTTTGGTAATGGGACACAGATCTTTTTAGTTTTGGCTTCTCTGAGGGTCATTTTAGCAGAGCTAAAAATGTAGGAGAACTTCCAGCCCCCAGGACCTCCAGAGTGCTACCTCTGAGTTGGCAGAGTGCAGTAAGGAGGACGTTAGCCTAAACTCAGTTACCTCAACACATTCCCTAGGGACTACAATCTACTACTGTAGAGAAAACAATTAATTCCCAGAGCTGCAGCATCACACAGGTGCAGGCAGCAGGGGCGGACCCTGACTCCCCGCAGCCCGTGAGGAAAGGAGGGTCGTTCTGAGCGAAGGACAGTCAGCGATGCTGATGCCCATTGCTAAAAAACCTGTACAAATTCCCTCTCTGTATATAACTCCTAGTAAATTAACAACCATGCCTGGGTTAATCTAAGCGGCAGCTATACTACTGCGTAGGAGTATGTGTTCAAAGATTATTTTACTGACAGCGCCCACAGTGCTGGTAGTTTCCTCTGCTTTTGTCTTAGTAAAGACGTCCCCCTCTTGCTCCTCAAAGCAAGAAGAGGAAGCAGCAGCTCTATTCTTTCTGAAAGAATACATGAAATACAGTTTTGTGCAACTACTTTCCCCTACTCCCTTAATTTCATTTTGCATGCAGCTCTCTGCCCCACAAGTTAGTGTGGACAAAGGCACAAAAGGAAGAACATTAACTTACCTCCCATGTGTCCAGAAAATCTGTATCACTGGGGATAATCATACCCTTGTCATCTACAGGACTCAGTTCTTCACCAGCCTGTTTTTTCAAGGCAGAAAGCACAAAAACTTGTTTTCAGAGTTGAATTTCCTACTGTATGCTAGCATTTGACTGGAATGATTGGCAGCAAATTAACAGGTTATTTGAACATATTGCATAACTAAAAATTATGCTTGTGCATCAGTATTCTGTTGGATAAGGGCCATACTTCTGCAAATCAAGTCACTGCATACACAGGGATGGGGTTTAGTAGTAATTATTTGAGTAACTTAGGTAAATTACAGAGAGAAGAGAACAGACAGTCCCCTTTGTTCATTGTACATTTTTCATTTATTTCACACAGGCATAGACTGGAAGGGAAAAACAAAAGGGCAAGTTCTTTTGTGCCATGTTTCTTTTTCCACTGTGGGTTACTCCAGATGAAGCCAACACCTCCAAAATTTGAGATGTTCACGCTGTTCTGATCCACCAGACAGCCATGATCTCAAACTGCATCATTATACATTGGTTGCAGTTTCCCTGGAAGTCCCAGGGGGCTTGTTAGCAATGCTCATACCCACAGCTACCTCACTCCAACAGACAGATCTAGACGCAGAAAGCCAGACCCACTCTCTAAAACATACCACTGTCTTGTTAGTCACTGTGAGTGCTTGTCACCACCAGGATTGGGAAAGAGCCAACTGGCTGCATGAACAAGCGCGTAGCCCGGCTATGTGACGAAGATGGTCACAGCACAGATGAGAGAATTTGCCAGGTTTCTACCAAGGTAAGGAGAAGAGAGGAATGAAGAATAGGCCTACCTTGTATCCCATGGGGAAATGTATCAGGTAGAGGTCGAGGTAGTCCAGTTTCAGTGCGGCAAGGCTCTTCTTGCATGCTTCCTTTACCAGGGATCTCTCATGAAACGTGTTCCACAACTGCGGGAAGAAACCAAGTCTGACCGTGACTTCGTGGCTTGCAGAGTCAAAATTGGAGGACAGAAACTTCCCTGTGGTGGTCCTTCTCCACCTATCCAGTTTACACTAAAGACAAACATGCTAACGTTTTAGTGGTAGAGTAAGAGAAGGATACCTTATCCAAAAAGGTCAGCATTGGAGGTGGACAATCAATCAGTAGTCATATTTATGAAAAGGGAGTGCCAGAACTGAGTGTAGCTTTCCGACACGTGTATCCGGTAACAGGCACAGCAAAGCTGTTAGTACTACAGATTTTTTTTTCAGGCTGTAGCACCTAATAGCTGCCCTCCTTCTGTTCCTTTTATCTGGCCACTGTGGACTGTTGTGAATTTTATTATAACATTTTTGGAATGCAAAATCAAACTGTTTATATAAAAGAACTGACAAATATTGTTCTGATTGGAAACTGCTCTTTAACAAAAATCACGAGTATGTGGAAAAGCTTAGTTACGTTCAATGTTTCCTGTTTTTGCTGGTGAAAACTTCAAGTCATTAATTTTTTAGCTGAAGGACTTTTTTAATTTTTTTAGTAAAGAATCTTCCTGGGTTGAGTAAATGAGATGAAGGAAATATTTCAGACTGAAGTCCTCTACTTTAATTTCTATTCCTTTTCAGGCTTTTTCTACCTTGCACCATTTTGTAATCTCCTGCACACCAGGAAATACCTTTTCAGGGAATGGGTGTGGGACACTTCAGTGTAAGTGAGTGACTTAACAGATGCAACAACATTTGTAGATCAGCAAGAGCCTTGCTATCTTTTCAAAGTTGTCAAGTGCTCCTAATAAAGCTCTGCCAAACTGCATATAAAGGATGGAATTCATAGCCTGGAAGAAGACAATCATGAAATGACTATCAGAGACAGAGAGGATAGTTCTATAGGTGACTTTACAGATGGAACAAGCGTTGCTTGTATTACAGCTCTCTCCAAGAAAAGCTAAATGCAGCAAGAATCCTACATCCTCATACCTTAGTAACAATGAAGAGGTCCTCCCTTTTCACAGCCCCCTCCTTGATCTTCTGCTGGATTGCATTCCCTATTTCATTCTCATTCTGGTACAGATAGGCACAGTCAAAGAGGCGGTAACCTGCATCAATAGCAAACTTCACCACCTCTTCCACCTTCCCTGGAGGAGCCTGAAAGCAAACATGACCAAACGTGAGCTGTCCGAGCACCGCTCCTAGCGCTCTCCAGCGGAGCCGGCCTGGCCCCAGGCTGACGCTGCACCAGCTCCCCAAAGCCACCCTTTCCAGCGTGCCGCTGCTGCTGCAGGTCCCTTGTCACCTGCATTTACACTGAGTTTTAACTGGCCAGGTGAATGGCATTTTGGTACGGAAAGGCCTGCACAGCAGGGAATGGGGCAGAGAGGGGTTAGTTCCCGTGAGGCATTTTGGATCTGGCATTTCTAGTGGAGTCAGGCCCAGTATCAAGTCTCCTTCTCTGCTCTCGGTGTTACCCAAGCGTTTTTGCCAGTTTATCTTTCCCAACCCCTTCCCCACATGGGCAGTTTGCCAGGCATCATCCGTGTGCAAGTCTGGCAGAGGAAGGCAGCCCGGGCAGCAGCAGCACGCCCCGTCACTCCACGGGTGCCTGGATCTGGCATTTCTAGTGGAGTCAGGCCCAGTATCAAGTCTCCTTCTCTGCTCTCGGTGTTACCCAAGCGTTTTTGCCAGTTTATCTTTCCCAACCCCTTCCCCACATGGGCAGTTTGCCAGGCATCATCCGTGTGCAAGTCTGGCAGAGGAAGGCAGCCCGGGCAGCAGCAGCACGCCCCGTCACTCCACGGGTGCCCCTTCCCACGGGGATGAGCTGCAAG